AAAGTGTTGAATCAATGCTGTTAGGCATCACATGTTTGAGAGAACAGATGATTTTAGGAGCTTTCCATTGTTCTGCATCCACTTCTGTTATTATTCTATTCTTCATACATAAAAACAGGTTTTGCAACAACCTTACATACTCTGTTTGAAAAGTATATAGTCTGTGGTAATGTGCACGCTTCATGTGGTTCTAGTGAGCAATCAGACATTGTGCAGACAAAATTTGGATGAGCAGTAGACACATGACTCATCACTCAAAGTAAAATGCAGAGCCATAAGCAGCTGATTTCAATTAATTCTCAGGTGTCAGATCTGTTCAGCTTTACGTGTTTTCAAACAGGAAGCGTTTCAGTCTCCTCTAGGTCACAGGTCAGAAGTTTTATTTATGTAGTGCTTTTATTGTTTTAAGGTGTAGTTTGGCATTGCAACACTCAAATGTGACCAAGAGGACCGGCAGTAATTAGCTGATATTTTGCGATATATTCTGAGAAACAAGTTTGTTTACTTTCTTCAGTGTGATAAGATTATTCATGTTGCTTTGGAAGTACAGTAAGAGCTCCAGACTTAAGAGTTTTGTTTTTGTTTTCCTTTAAAGAGTTTACTGCTGCAAAACTTGTAGGTCAAGTCAAAGATCAGCATCTTGAATGCTGTCGTAGCAATGTTTGCACAGAATGTAATCTACTCAGTCGTAATTTGCTAACACGCCTCAGCCTGTTAGCAGGGAGTGAATGTGGTGAAAGCAAGGACTCAAAGAAAAACAGGGAAACAAGAGACACGCAAAAATATGTGCGAAGAAAGGCAGGTCCGATTTATATTTGAATATTGCACACAGTGTGAAATTGTGTCTGGTAAAGAGGTGTAAAACAACCAGGAAAAAATGATTAAAAACACCTACTGAATCCATTCATAATGGTGCGGTGGTGTTTTCCACCTTATATGTGATATTTCAGCCACACCCACAGACTTCCCGAAGTTTTTTGTCACCACTACCATTTAACTAGCAGCAGATAAGCATTTTAGCAAATTTCCCACCAAGATCACAACGAAAACAAGAAAGGCTTGTC